CCTAAGCTTAACCCTTTAAGAATCCAAGGTCCTGTCCTCTCTTTCTGCTTAAAAAACTTACTTTTGGAAAACAAAGGGGGAAAACATTAATGTAAGTGCATTTGTATTTTAAAAGCAACAAAAATATCTGGGCCAAAGCTTCTAAATAAACAGCTGAGGAAAGAAGAGAAAATAAAGGCAAAGTTTAGACACGTTTGAATGCAGAGTTACAAAGAACAGCAAGCAGAGATAAGAAAGCCTTCCTCAGTGATCAATGCAAAGAAATAGAGGAAAACAACAGAATGGGAAAGACTCGAGGTCTCTTCAAGGAAATTAGAGATGTCAAGGGAAAATTTCATGCAAAGATGGGCTCAATATAGGACAGAAATGGTATGGACCTAACAGAAGCAGAAGATATTAAGAAGAAGTGGCAAGAATACACAGAAGAACTATACAAAAAAGATCTTCATGACCCAGAGAACCACAATGGTATGATCACTCACCTAGAGCCAGACATCCTGGAATGTGAAGTCAAGCGGGCCTTAGGAAGCATCACTATGAAAAAAGCTAGTGGAGGTGACAGAATTCCAGTTGAGCTATTTCAAATCCTAAAAGATGATGCTGTGAAAGTGCTACACTCAATATACCAGCAGATTTGGAAAACTCACTTCCCTGGTGGCTCAGATGGTAAAGCATCTGCCTACAATGTGGGAGACCTGGGTTCGATCCCTGGGTTGGGAATATCCCCTGGAGAAGGAAATGGCAACCCATTCCAGTATTCTTACCTGGAAAATCCCATGGACAGAGGAGCTTGGTAGGCTATAGTTCATGGGGTTGCAAAGAGTCGGACACAACTGTGTGACTTCACTTCACTTCCTCAGCAGTGGCCACAGGACTGGAAAAGGTCAGTTTTCATTCCAATCCCAAAGGAAGGCAATGCCAAAGAATGGTCCAATTACCACACAATTGCACTCATCTCACAAGCTAGCAAAGTAATGCTCAAAAGTTTCCAAGCCAGGCTTCAACAGTACATGAACCATGAACTTCCAGATGTTCAAGCTGCTTTTAGAAAAGCCAGAGGAACCAGAGATCAAATTGCCAACATCTGTTGGATCACTGAAAAACAAAGAGAGTTCCAGAAAAATATATACTTCTGCTTTATTGACTATGCCAAAGCCTTGACTGTGGATCACAACAAACTGTGGAAAAATTTGAAAGAGATGGGAATACCAAACCACCTTATCTGCCTCCTGAGAAATCTGTACATAGGTAAAAAGCAACAGTCAAAACTGGACATAGAACAACAGACTGGTTCCAAATAGGGAAAGGAGTATGTCAAGGCTGTATATTGTCACCCTGATTATTTAACTTATATGCAGAGGACATCATGAGAAACTCTGGGCTGGATGAAGCACAAGCTGGAATCAAGACTGCAGGGAGAAATATCAATAACCTCAGATATGCAGATGACACCACCCATATGGCAGAAAGCGAAGAAGAACTAAAGAGCCTCTTGATGAAAGTGAAAGAAGAGAGTGAAAAAGTTGGTGTAAAACTCAACATTCAAATGGCAAATAGATGGGGAAACAACGGAAACAGTGAGAGACTTTATTTTCTTGGGCTCCAAAAGCACTGAAGATGGTGACTGCAGCCATGAAATTAAAAGATGCTTGCTCCCTGGATGAAAAGCTATGACTAACCTAGACAGCACATTAAAAAGCAGAGACATTACTTTGCCAACAAAGGTCTGTCTAGTCAAAGCTATGGTTTTTCCAGTAGTATGGATGTGAGATGTGAGAGCTGGACTATAAAGAAAGCTGAGTGCTGAAGAATTGATGCTTTTGAACTGTGGTGATGGAGAAGACTCTTGAGAGTCCCTTGGACTGCAAGGAGATCCAACCAGTCCATCCTAAAGGAAATCAGTCCTAAATATTCATTGGAAGAACTGATGCTGACACTGAAACTCCAATACTCTGGCCACCTGATGTGAACAGCTGACTCATTTGAAAAGACCCTGATGCTGGGAAGGATTGAAGGCAGGAGGGCAAGGGGACAACAGAGGATGAGATGGCTGGATGGCACCACTGACTTGATGGAGAGGAGTTTGCGTAAGCTCCGGGAGTTGGTGATGGACAGGGTGGCCTGGTATGCTGCAGTCCATAGGGTCGCAAAGGGTCAGACACAACTGAGCAACCGAACAGAAAGCTTCTAAGGGTAAAATTTCTGCCACTGACCATCTCTGGTTTGGGAAAATGTGAGGGTGCTCATTTCACAGCCCAGAATCCTCTCCGTGCAGGTCAACTTAACAGTCTTCGAGTGTCTTCAAGTACTAGGTGGTACACAGGACACAGCCTCCTCTCCTAGAGGGTACAGTGCGCCCTGGGCAGAAGTGAGAAGGCAGGTCTGGGAAACTGACAAGGGAACCAGAGTTCTGAATGTTCCCAGGTGTAGCCCTCTTTCTTTCAGCATGTGGTGGTCCAGGTCAAGTGTTGTCTCCTGGGTGCGGGAGGATGACTGAGACTGTTGCTTCAGGATAACTGAAAATGTTTGATGGAGGAGGTTTCCCTTGCCTCAAGCAGGCCATGAGAGGTCAGGATTACCAGGATATAGGAACACTCCATGTCTGTCTAGACCACAAGTTCTCTTTGTGCCTGTTCTTAGAAACCAAACCCAGCCAATCAAAAGCACACACTGCCCACATTAAGAAGGGAAGGAAACACCCTCACCTATAATTAATATTTTCCAATGCACATACATTATTGGCTTGTTACAATTTCTCAGGCACTGTGTTAAATTCTGAACACATAAAGATAAATAAAACAGGCATGTTTGTAGATACCTCTTCTGCTCTGAAACTCCAGAGACCATGTGGAAGACTAGACACTGCTTAATAATCTGCTGTGTAAGGAAACATTAACTTTCACTCTACAGCTTAGGACCATGTTGTCTTATTCTTGACTTAACAGGACTATATTCATTTAATAAATCTGTCAAGTGCCTGTAAGAACCAGAAATAGGACTGAGCATAGGTTAAACAGGATGAATAATACAATGCCCATGCCTTCAAGGAGTTTACAGTCTAGTGGGAAAGAGTAGCAGATAAAACAGCAATTACAACACAATGACGTCTTCCATAGGGGTAGGTAAAAGTGATGGAAGAAAGACAGCTTAGAGAATTTAGATATAAATGGAAGAGTCACCCATGGAAGGCTACACAGAGGATAAAGCATCTAAGATGGTCTTCAACTTAGAGTAGAAGATAATTAGTGGCAAAGTGGAGGACGAGTCATCCCCAGGCAGAGAAACACATGTGCAAAGACATGGAAATAGAAATGCAAAGACAGAGGTCTGTGAGTGCAATTTGATGTAAGCATTTGATAGATAACTTTTGACTGTAGTACGAAGTATTGACTAAAATATTTTTCAAAGTTTTTTGATGGTAATCCACAGTAAGAAGTTCACTTTCATTATGGAGCAGTGTACACATGCAGATACATAAAATTGCAGTGGAAACGTATGTTCTACAAAAAAGTGCTCCTCTGGTCAGTCTATACTGTTCTGAAAATCTAATGGTCATGATTTCCTAAATTGATCTCAAGAAGTTTGAAGCATAATTTAAAAAGAAACACTGTTAGAAAGAAAGGCTAGGGGAAAAAACAAATTTGTCTACAGTTGAAGTAAGAAATATTGAGAATATGAAAAATCCACTGCCCCACCAACAAAAAAAACTGCAGTGAGAACGAAAAAGTGGAAAGAGTCATCACACTTTAGGGTAAACTCTGCCTCACTGTCTGCCTTCCATTGAAGGATGAAACCTTGTGTCTTTTTAAAAAAATGCACTGTTTCCTAGCACCATGCTTGGGACATACCAAATGTTTGATGGTTCTTTGATGAATGAATAAATGAATACAAGAATGCCAGGTTGTAGATTTATTTAAAAGATGAAATCAGGAATATACCCAAGTAACTGGACATAGGATATAAGCCAAATACATTATGAAAATAAAATTAGACTTGCAAGGGCTTTGGAGCATGGGTAGAAAAAAGTAGTACAGGTAAGTACACCTTTGTCATAGATGCTAGTTGGAAGTTAACATATCTCTATCAAGTTTTCAGTAAACCAAACAGCCATCCGGGTATTTATTTATATCAATTTTTCTATTAGTTTGTATGGGTAAACTGATAAAACTACAAATGAATTCTACAGTTGATGAAAAGTTCTGTAACTCTACACAAATACTTAACTGTAAAAAGGCTTTTTCTCTAACTTGAGTCACTAGCTCTCAATCTTGGCTTTAAAAATAGAAAAGCAAGAGACACGTGCACTCCAATGTTCATCGCAGCATTGTTTATAACAGCCAGGACATGGAAGCAACCTAGATGCCCATCAGCAGACGAATGGGTGAGGAAGCTGTGGTACATATACACCATGGAATATTACTCAGCCATTAAAAAGAATTCATTTGAATCAGTTCTAATGAGATGGATGAAACTGGAGCCCATTATACAGAGCGAAGTAAGCCAGAAAGATAAAGACCATTACAGTATACTAACACATATATATGGACTTTAGAAAGATGGTAATGATAACCCTATATGCAAAACAGAAAAAGAGACTCAGATGTATAGAACAGACTTGTGGACTCTGTGGGAGAAGGCGAGGGCGGGATGTTTCAAGAGAACAGCATCGAAACATGTGTATTATCTAGGGTGAAACAGATCACCAGCCCAGGTTGGATGCATGAGACAAGTGCTCGGGCCTGGTGCACTGGGAAGACCCAGAGGGATCGGGTGGAGAGGGAGGTGGGAGGGGGGACCGGGAGGGGGAATACATGTAAATCCATGGCTAATTCATTTCAATGTATGACAAAAACCACTGCAATGTTGTAAAGTAATTAGCCTCCAACTAATAAAAATAAATGGAAAAAAAATAAATAAAAAATAAAAATAGAAAAGCAGTGTCTTCGGTCCTAGAGAGTGACTGGACATAGTGCTGGTGGGGACATGGAGAAAGAAATTACCTAGTCCTCCTGCATGAGCATCAATTAGTGAGGCTGCCACTGCAATTCCAGGAGGAAGGCCAAGGTCCTTTGCTGCCTCTGGTGTGAGCCCACTTCCAAGAGAAGCTCCAGGAGGCAGCACTTGGTTTCCTGGGTAGACAGGAGAAAAAATAAACACCTGTCATTTTGAGAAACACAAAAGCAAATAGAGAGTTTTCTTAAGAGAACCTCTTGGCCCCCTCCCCTCTCCTCTGCCTTTTCTCAACTTCATGAAGATAGAAACCATGCAGCCACAAAGAGTCCTTGTGCTCATTTGGCGACTTAGGTGTATGAGCTTGCTTCCCATAGGTCATGCTCTAGGGTGCTTTACAAAGCCAAGAGCTCTAAGGCATCTTTCAAATCAGAGAAAGATTCCATTCATGGGAAATTTCAAAAGATACAAATACAGTGGCCTCTTGGAGACAAGGTTGAAATGGTCAAACTGTTCCAAACGTGCTTCCTAACATAGCAGCCCTACCAGCATATGTTACACACGCATACACACATACTCCCACATCCATACATACTCCCTGATTAACGTATATTCCCAAGAAGTTAAGAAAATTTACTTATGTAGTTGCTTCCTGTCAGAAGATAAATAAGGGAATTATTTTGTTCCAATAAAGAATTTCTTAGAAGTTCATCTCAGTTGGGAATGACAGCCCAGCTTAAACCTTGCAGACTTCACAAGGCTGCTACTTGCACAATCACAGAATACAATTTGAATGGTGTTCTTTGGAGTTGTGCAATGCATTGACCCTGATATTTCAAGTGACCTTGAATTCCTGCAGTCAGCCAGGCCTTCAGTTAAGAATTTATTGATTGTCTTGCTTTGTGTGGGCGCCACAGCACTGTAAAAGGCAGTCCTTGCCCCCAACCTAGTTAGGGAGAAGAGATCAGGACACAGACAACCATGCAAGTCAGAAAAGAATGAAGTGATCCATCTGCTCCCAGGTGTTTAGCAGAGGCTGGGTGGCCCCCGCCTCCCAGAACCTGTGTTCAGCCAAAGAATTTATAGTAACTGTTTCTGTAAAATAAGGAGGGTACAGAGCAGAACCTCTATATATGCTAAGATCTTTCTGAACCTTAAGGCTCTAAGATTCTGAATGGGTGCCATTTGCTCAGTGCTAAGATTCCCACCACTTGTTAACTGTTTCATGGAGTTCCAGGGATGAACAGGCGCACTTCAGGACTCCTGGGGATAGAGGTGAGAGTGGGAATTAGAAGGAGGCAGAGGGTGAATGTCTCACCAATGTCCTGTAACCAAAAACAAAGCACCTCTACAATACCATTTTGAATCCATTTTTCAAACCTTCTCCAATTTGGAAAAAGTTTAGCTAAGAAAAGAAAACAGGAGAAGACTGAACCCACTGCATGGATTCCACAGCTTCACTGTCCGGTATGGGAGTCACTAGGCGTATGTGGGTGGAACATTTGAAATGTGGCTGGAGTAACTAAGGTGCTAAATTAATTTCATCTGAATTAATTTCCATTTCAATTTCAAAACTGATACTCAATTCAATTACTGAAAAACTTTTAAGTACGTTTGGAACAACTACCACAAATCGATTTTTCAACATTAATTCAAGAAATCTAAATTAAGTATTCACAGTGAAAATTTAGAGTCTGAATTGAGAGGAACTAAGTAGAAAATACACATCAGATGTCAAAGATTTTGTATGAGGACATGAATGTAAAATATCTCATTAATAATTTTTGGATCAATTATATATTAAAATGATGTTTTGGATATGGTAGGTAAAATAAAACATTAAAATTAATCTCACCTATGTCTTTTTACTTTAAAGTGCTACTGGAAAACGTTAAATTTCAGGGCTTCCTAGAGGCTCAGTGATAAAGAATCTACCTGCCAACGCAGGGGACATGGGTTCCATCCCTGATCGGGAGGATCCCATATGCCTCGGAGCAGCTAGGTCCATGTGCCACAACAATTGAGCCTGCACTCTAGGGCCTGCATGCTGCAGCTGCTAAGCTCATGTGTCACAACTACTAAGGCCCTCAGCCTGTGCTCTTCAACAGAAGTCACTGCAATGAGAAGCCCATGCACCACAGCTAGAGAGTAGCCCCAACTCGCCACAACTAAGGAAAGCCCACACAACAACGAAGACACAGCACAGCCAAAAGTAAAAAAATAATAATAATAATAATAATAAATAAATATTTATTTTTTTAAAATTACACGTAAATTTTTGATTTCATATGTGGCTCATATTATATTTCTATCAGACATCACTGGATCAGAGGATAAGGTCCAGATACTCAAATGATGGGTTGGGGGGCCCAGAGAATCTCTACTCTGCTTTGAATGCACAGCCAGCAGAAACTTGGAGGAAAGCAACCCCCTTGACTGTGGACAGTCTGGCTCTGGACACTGTCTCCATCATGTCACTGTGTCTAGTATCCAGCACATACCAAACAACATTCCCATTCACTGAGCACTTCTATGCTGGGGACCATCCTAAGGATACATCACACACTGTCTCACTTCATTGTCACAGAAACCGTATGTTCCTGTGGGAACATTCCCTATGTGGGTACTATTCTAATTTGTCCCCATTGCACAGACAAATGGGGAAAATCAGCTTTATGAATGGAAAGTAAATTTTCCACAATCACACGACTTACAGTGTTGGAACACGGGCATGTATTCCAATCTGATGGATACCAACCCTGTGCTCCTGTTCTTTACATTTCAGTGTAGCTTCTAAGTGAAGGAAGGAATCAAGAGAAGTATTTGTAGAACAAACATTACATGTGTTTAAAAAGTGGCCCATGTAGAAATCATGTGCTCTATATTCAGATTTCTTTTTAAAGGGTGAATTTTCCTAGGAAGGTCAAAATGGGAACTTCTATTCATCCCCAACCCCCACAAATACAAAGCCTGTAATTTTCAATGAAAAAAAAAAAAGGTTCAGAAAAGAAAAAGGGTTAGCTCGGTGGGGTACACTTCCAAGCCTTTTGGAAGTAATTTAGGAAGGAACGTCGGCTGATGAGATGCAGAGGGAGCCCCGGGCTTGCAGTCAGAAGGCCTGGATTCAAATGACATGCTGGAGGAGTACAAGTCTACTTAGACTTCCCAGTAGAGGCAGCATTTTGAGCAAAGGCCAAGAAAGACAGGAGACTGAGTAACAGGCCTGAGACCAACAGGGCTGGGTAAGCTGGCATAGAAGCTGGGGTGGGGCCTAGCAGTGGGTGCAAGAGGCTGATAAGGTTGGAGAGGTACATATGGAAATCCAGATGAAGGTGTCTCAATATATCACAAAGATCGCTGTAAGTTCCTGAAAGAGCATTAAGCCTGGGAGTGAGGTGAATGAATGTTCGCTTTTGCATGTGTGTGTGTGAAGCATAAGTGTTTTACAAGATTGTGTCAGTTTCAGGTATATAGCAAAGTGATTTGATTACATACATATATATATGTTTTTTTCCCACTCTTTTTCATTATAGTTTATTACAAGATATTGCAAAACCTGTATGCAGGTCAAAAACACAACAGTTAGAACCAGACATGGAACAATGGACTGGTTCAAAATTGGGAAAGGAGTATGTCAAGGCTGTATATTATCACCCTGCTTATTTATCTTATCTGCAGAGTACATCATGTGAAATGATGGGCTGGATGAAGCAAAAGCTGGAATCAACACTGAAGGGAGAAATATCAACAACCTCAGATATGCAGATGACACCACCCTTATGGCAGAAAGTGAAGAAGAACTAAAGAGCCTCTTGATGAAAGTGAAAGAGGAGAGTGAAAAAGCTGGCTTAAAACTCAACATTCAGAAAACTAAGATCATGGCATCCGGTCCCATCACTTTATGGGAAATAGATGGGGAAACAATGAAAACAGTGAGAGACTTTATTTTTCTGGGCTCCAAAATCACTGCAGATGGTGACTGCAGCCACAAAATGAAAAGATGCTTGCTCCTTGGAAGAAAAGCTATGACAACCCTAGACAGTGTATTAAAAAGCAGAGACATTACTTTGCCAACAAAGGTCCATCTAGTCAAAGCTATGGTTTTTCCAGTAGTCATGTATGGATTTCAGAATTGGGTCATAAAGAAGGCTGAGTGCCTAAAAATTGATGCTTTTGAATTGTGGTGGAGAAGATTCTTGAGAGTCCCTTGGACTGCAAGGAGATCCAACCAGTCAACCCTAAAGGAAATCAGTCCTGAATTTTCACTGGAAGGACTGATGTTGAAGCTCCAACATTTTGGCCACCTGACGTGAAGAGCCAACTCACTGGAAAAGATCCTGATGCTGGGAAAGATTAAAGGCAGGAGGAGAAGGGGACGACAGAGGATGAGATGGTTGGATGGCATCACCGACTCAATGGACATGAGTTTGAACAAGCTCCACCAGTTGGTGATAGGGAAGCCTGGCGTGCTGCATTCTGTGGGGTTGCAAAGAAACAGACATGACTGACCAACTGAACAACAACAACAAGATACTGAACACAGCACCCAGACTCCAAGCTGAAGCTCCATTACTTTGGCCACGTGATGTGAAGAGCCAACTCATTGGAAAAGACCCTGATGCTGGAAAAGGTTGAGGGCAGGAAGAGAAAGGGGCGACAAAGGATGAGATGCATGGACGGTATTACCAACTCAATGGATATGAGTTTAAGCAAACTCCAGGAGATAGTGAAGGACAGGGAAGCCAGGCATGCTGCAATCCATGGGGTCGCAAAGAGTTGAATGTGACTCAGTGACTGAAAAACAACCACCCAGACTCACAGACATGAATTTGCATCTTTTTAAAGATCTCTCTAGCAGTGGACAGAATGATGTAAGGAAAAACAGCAGTGAAGCTCTCTCAGTAACCAGAGAATAGAGAAGGGCATTCATTAAGGTTACTGGCAAGTGAGATGCAGAAACAGAGGCAGATATGAGAGATTTCGTGGAGTGAGAAATGGTGGGAGGTCTGGTAGATAGGGAGGTTACCACGACTGGATTCCCATTAAGGATGGACATGCTGTCCAGTGGGCGGTCAGATCAGCAGACAGCCTTCAACTGCCAGTTCCTCAAGGTCATCAGATAAGGCGATGACTTTCCAAGTATGGCTGCAACTGGAGACTCAACAGAATGGGAAGAGAG